CATCGTCCCCGTCGAAGTGTGTAAACCTTCGGGTGTGAAACTGGTCATCTTCACCCCAATGGTTCAGAGTTCATTCGACTTTTACCATTTTAACTGTCACGCATACTTAGTGGAAGTCTTTTGACTGAGCAGTAGATCTACAAGTTTTTACAGAAGATTTGTTATTAAAATATCAGATCCTAATACGTCATACGACGGAAGATTGGAGTCATTTTCAGGACTAAACTACTACAATCTTCCAGCGCTATGGGACTATGTTTATGATAGAAAGCATTTCCTTTGCTGAACCGTACCAGACCGCGTACGCACCGTCATGCGATCGCCCTCGGCCTCAATTCAACCTCTACCATCAATAAGTGTTCCATTCGGAGCTTTCTGCTGTGGGTCTTTCAATTCCTCTACGCCTGAAAGACCCAAGAGCACAAGTGATAAATGTCAAACCTGTCGAACGGCACCGTTCCCAAGAACCGTAGAATATTGAAACACTCTTTCTTAATCTATACTTATAACCTTTATATTTTCAAGCACAGAATCAGCGCGGCGTGCTTGTAGACGCATGTGCCCTAATCCCTATAGTATAACTTGGTCTTTGCGATTACGGGGTTTATTCCTGTCGTGTAGTAAAGGAGCCAATATACATAGCAGAACTATTATATGAGACGATTAACCCTACGAGAGTGGCAGACCGTTTTCGAATAATACAGTTATCAACTTTGCTATCGGTTTCAATCAAGTACACCACAAATACACAAACACGTGTGAAAAGGATTACTCAGCGCACAAGAGCAAACCTCGCTGAGACGAGGGGGTGGCCAAAACATCAGACAAAATTGATATCCTTATCTTTAAAACGAAACACTAGGAACCGCGGCGATGTATATACACCCTTTCCTCAGTTTCACTTTCAGTTTACAGTATTGGCCGATTTTGATGCACCAAAACATCTTCTTTCTCATCAAACTCTGTTTCATTACATTTACCACCTATATTGATGCTCTAGGTATGGACAATAATTTATCTCTTGTTTACTTCGATCTACGTAGTTTCTGGGCTGCATGATTGGCAATTAAACGTGCCTGATCTTGGTTGCCAAGATTTAATAATCTCACCATGGAAATAGCAAACTTTATCAAGTATGAAAACGTAATATATTTTGATAGGAGTGACTCAAGAATTATCTCAAATTATTTCTATAAGCCCTTGCCATCTCGGTTATTTGTTATGAGGCACTATTTTAACCAAAAAATATAATTCATTATAGCAACTCTATTGAACAACCAAATGAAATTCTTTCACAACCCGTTGCTTCAGTTTCGATTAGACCTATATACAACCGTTAACCATGCATTTTTGTGTGCATGTTTTGGTTGCTGTGTTTTGGCTGCCCATTTGAATAAAGCGGTAGGAGAAAAATTTGAAAAATCAAAGCATTATTAAAGGGAAACCAAAGATTTCCAGTAGTATGAGGTTGGAAAGAAATTTACAATATGAAAGAGCACCACTGTTTAAGACACTCAACCATATCACTGTGTCTCTAACTGACTAAAACGATCTAGCTGAGGCAGCTTGTTGGCCGATCTGACAGAATGTGTCGACCTTGACTGCGGTTAATTGAAAGAGGGATCTTTTTAGCAGACTATCACCGAATCGTGAACTGAGAGACGTTTTTTCAACGACTCCAGTCAAAAGACAATTACAAAAGCGCGAGCGTTTGATGGTGGGGGCAGAAAAAGTGCACTGACTAAGGGAAACCCAAGCTGTATTTACAGGATTGCGCAGTTTGCATTTTTCTGGAATGGAAATTACGAGAGCACCAATGGAAGGGATGAATAAATCAGACTGCCGTATTCTGTCCATATTACCCTGGATCTCACGGATGCAGTAGCATCCAGAACGCAACAGTACTTTACCTACAGTGGCAACTGGTTCCAATCCATTTCATATTTATACAGTGAGAATTTTCAGGGGAAAATTAGGCTTCCCTGACAGGCACTTTCATAATTTGTGCATTCAAATGTAGCGCAGATACCTAAGCAACTCATTCAAATTGAACAAAAAAATCGCCTCCGGTCACACGAAGCTTAAGAACTGGAATGACTACAGTTCGACCGTAACTAGGACGCGAACATTGCATGTATACATCAAACGTTGAAGAGATGAAATGTATTTATTGAGCCCGAACACAACACGCTCGTATTTATCCGAGGTGGGCAACCAAGTCGGCTAAGTTGAGTTATTAGGTCAATGCCTGCTTTTTTGGTCAATGCACCTAGTCTCGTACGAACAGATGATCGGATACACAAGGATAACGAACTGCCAGCTGGGACAGACGTTGAGCATGTTTAGTAGTTTGCCAGAACAAAACATCTTGTTTGCAGTCATCGCTTACAAAGATTGGATGTTTGAAGAAACTGAAGCACACAGGAGTGAGCCGGTGGCACGGCTGTTTTGTTACCCTAGACCAGGCTGTGGTAGACGGTTCTGCAGTCGTCCGAGACAGTACCACCGCCTAGCCATCGGGGCCCTATGTGGTTTACCACCCCAAGTTCCAAGGCTAGGTTTCCGGTTACCTCTCACCTCAATGTGAATAATAACAGGATCAATTCTCAAGTGCACTCTCACTGGACAATCACACTCACTAACATTCGAGGCTTGAACCATAATATTGATTCTGCACACCAATTTCTTCCCTTCTTGTTCTATTTTTACCTGAAACACAACTTTCTACTTCTACAGACACCAACTCTTTCCAGTTTC